TCTCTCTCTCTCTCTCTCTCTCTCTCTCTCTCATTGAGTATGGATTACCTATTTCCTTCGAGCAACAACGACACTGTATTGACCTCTTCAAACAAGGAAGCAAATAATGAAAATCTTGATTCAAACCATGACCAAGAGGCTGCGTTGTTTGGGCAGTTTCCGTTGCCTTTCCTTGATGAGATATCTACTAGCCCAATAATCCAAAACCACCAACTGCATCACCTTAGCACCGATAGATCAAAAACGTCCACAAGCAGCACTGCAAACGAGCCTCCGCCACCACCATCACCTGGTAAAACAAAGCGTGCAAGGAAGAAAAGAAGTGCTGGGAAAAAAGACAGACATAGCAAGATTCATACAGCTCAGGGTCTTAGAGATAGAAGAATGCGATTGTCTCTCCATATTGCTCGCAAGTTTTTTGGTCTTCAAGATATGTTAGGGTTTGACAAAGCAAGTAAAACTATTGAGTGGCTCTTTTCCAAGTCTAAGAAGGCAATAGAAGAAGTCACCGAAGGGTTTCAATCGCAAAACACTACTCAAAGCGTAAGCAACGAGAATAACGAGAGGTGTCAATCCCCTGTGTCCGATTGCATAGTGGATTCGGACATTGACTATAATAATCCTTTTTCCAACAAAGGTAAACAACTGAGGCTCCAAGATGATATGGACAGTTGGAACTCAAGAAAGCCAACAGAAAGTGATGTTTTGGCAAGGGGGTCGAGGGACAAGGCAAGGGCAAGAGCAAGGGAAAGAACTCGAGAGAGAATGATGATTAACCATCTTGAGAAATCGAAACAGCTTTTTGGATCAAACTCTAATGATGATTTTGACCAACTGCAGTTAGGGTTTTCAGTAAACCCTAATAACCACTACATCAAAGAATCATCAAATTCTCCTCTTGAACATTCAGGTACACATCATTTTTATGAGCAGGCACAGATGGATGGTATTACAGAAAAAACCGAGGACTATTTGAGGGCTACTGCTGCAAGCTCATCATCATATTTTTCCGGATATGGTTACAACAAAAGTTTTGCCAACCCGCCTGCTGGTTGGTTAAATTCTAGCAACACATTCTTGGGTTTTCTTGGAGGTTGGGATTCAGAGAACATCAGACTGGAATCTGACAACTACGGGATTTTACCAAATACTGCTTCATCAACAGCTGATATTCATGAACAAAGTCTTAGCTCCGTTATTTATCCTCACACCAATCTTTTGCATTTCCAACCCCAAAACCAAAGAGATTAACAATGTTTTACTCGAACAGTTGTTGTGTGTTTGTCTACCTAAATTACAATTATTGTTTTTCAGTCACCTTTCCATCTTTTTGTTTGACGGTTCAGTATAATGGGTGACGAGAATAATGGGAGCATCTGTGTCCAAAATATGCCATTTTGTTTCTTTACTTGGTATACAAAATATATAGCTACTTCCAAAAACACTATTTATTTGATGTAATAACATGTTATTTGAAGATACTGAAGAACGTAATTGTCTTATATCAATATTCCAAGCAGTAAAGGTGGCAAAAAAATCTACTCCCTTTTTCTCTTAAGCATGGACTTCTTGCTGGAATGTATTCGAGCAATATGATAGTTATCAAGCTGTATGGATTAGATTTTTTTCTTGTGGCAAATGTCATTAAAAGTTATCATGTCCATCTAAGAAAAACAGACGCATTAAAACTGCTCATATGCAGTTTCACTTATTGATTACTAGCATTCGGGATTAATCGAACTTCTCTTGCTAGAAACAGATTGAAGTTAGAGTTAGAGTTTGGAAATTTGATTGGCTTCAACAGTGCATTGTCAATGAATGTTGCACAAAAAAATTAAATATTAAAGATTAACTTGGTACTAGAACAGTACATGGTTATATCAAAGATACACCAGCTGTATCCAAATTAATCTGGAAACACTAGTTTTCCTAATGAAAGCAATCAAACCCATTGATTAACGTCATTGAATCTTGTAACAGTTATGATGCACGTTTAATGTTCTTGATTGATAAATATTGGTTGGGGTTCTTTCAGTACTCTCATGGTTGGTAGTGTATGTCTTTATGTTCTTCTTTTTTATGTTGTTAGTAGACCAATATTCAAGAAATACAGTCCGGTGACAACTTTAGCGACAACGTAACCAATAGCGTCGCCGCTAAAGGTGTCGTCGGTAACACTTTGTAACCATGATCCGTGTGACTGTTTTTGGACGAATCCCAACCATTGATTAATGCCATCGATCTTGCTTGTTGCCTACAAAATTTTCGAAACCCTAAGTTCTTCTCTTCTTTTCCAAGAACAAAGAGGTATGAAAATTTTCACCTTGATTATTTACATTGATTAATGTATAGTATGATTGCTAAGATTTCATGCAACAATTTCATATACTCTTACAATTTTATTAAAAGTAATTATCCTTCATCCTTTAGAAAGAAAAGAGATCTATTATTTAAGAACTTTTCTAAGACTAGTTTTATTCAATTTGCAAATTTCTATGCACAAATTTTTGAAGATCAAAAGCATTCCTTGGATGAAAAAGAAATTCTTTAACTCTAGGTTATCAAACAATGAAAAAAGGAATATCCTAATTCCAAAATCACTTGACTGGGGTATACTAGTTTTTATTGGAGTAGATCTTGATTTAAATATGCTTCTTATAAAGACTATGATGGTGGAAGAGTATGATATGCTTATGATATCAATCGCATGAAATAATATCTTCAATATTAAGGAAGTGATATATGAAGAACTAGTACAAGAATTCTATGCTATAGTTGTTTTCAAACCTGAAGTCACAAATTATGATGAAAGATGAGCAATTACTTTAAGGTAGTATTTTAGAGCTATCATGGAGATGTGGTATAATAACAAGAGAGGAAGCTTTGGCAAAGATTGCAACTACTATAAATCTAAATTGCCAAGAAAGATACCAAAAGAGTTTGATCATGAGAAGACTTGGAAAGAGTATGGCTATGGAGAATTTGGTTTGAAGGGACCATCTACAAGGATCAAAATTATTACACATGGGATCATGCATCAAGTGATAGCAAACACTATTGCTTGTAATGAGAATAGTGATTTAGTTTGTCGCAATGATCTTATTCTTTTGGATAACCTTTTAACATTAGAAGAAGATGTGAATGTGCCATATTGTCTAGCATACTACTTAGGAAATAATAAAGGAGGACCACAAAATATTTAAGTTATCGAAGGGCATTTTATTACAAGGATTCCTAGTTCATTTGATGTTTTATCAAATAAAGTAATAACAAGCAGGAAAGGATATGCACCAGAAATTATTAATGTGAAATTCTAAGATCAATTTATGTTTTTAAAGAGATTGATGGCTTTACTAGATTGAAGTTAGTGAAGTAGGAAAGTGAAGAAGATATAGTTAATAAAAATAATGGTGAAACTTATAAGAAAAGAGGTACTAGAAAAAGAGGAAAAGAAAAGATGCATGAGGAAATAGCTAAGCTTGATGAAGAATTGAAAAAGTCAATTATTAGGGGAGCTAATAATGCAGAGATGATAAAAAGGATAATTTTAACAGTTTCTCATGCGAGAAATCATGTGGATACAATTCATAAGGTGTTAGGTTGGGTAATAATAGAGATATTAAAGAAAAAGGTTGATAATGATAAACCTTTACTAAAACTGTAACGTCCCATTTTTCACAACCAAATTTTTTTCTTTTATTAAGGTAAAACTCTTCAGTTTATTAAACCATTATTTAAGAGAACCTTTTATCCCAAATTAAATTTATTAAAAATCAGAGTATCGTAGAAAACGCAGAATCTTCAATGTTGCTGATGAGTGTATATAGTCATGCATTCGCCTTCCCGCAATCATCGATGATAGCTGAAACCATAAACAATTGGGTAAGCATAAACCTCAGTGCGCGTCCCCTAAAATACCCCATATGATAAACATACAAGCATGCATAACTACCGCTCTTCGGCCTTCAGCCTGATTAGACCGCCTCGCAGGCCTTCAGTCTATCGGGTCGGAATATCAGGGTTTGTTGGCCCACCACCTCAACCCAACCGCTCCTCCCCAGCCTAAGTGCCTTTGGCTTACAGTTGGCCCACACAGGGTATCTGGCCTACAGCACAAAGTAGGACCACCTCAACCCATCACCACGATATGTCGACATATAAACAAACAAGGATCAAACTGGCACATAAAACAGGAAAACAACAATCATGCAGCTCACTCCCGCCTACTAGTCCTCTCACAGCACACAGTCCCACTACCAGCTAACCTCTATAAAATGTGTAACCATAAGTAGTCAGAGGTGAGATATCCAACTGAACAGATGATCCTACTCTAGAACCACAACCAAACAAGGAACGTGTAAGAGAGCCTAGATCAAGCGTCCTGAGTCTATCCTGTGTGACTATACACAATCCTTATGGCATCCCTCTACTAAATACCCGAAAACTAGTGAGCCAGCATTGGTGCCTTCGACCCATAGTACGATGAGGCGAAACTCACCTGAAATGAAGAACCAGCGAATACCGTGATCCTTTCCCTGCTACACTGCTTGCTCCTGTGGATCCAATAACATCAAATACCATATAAAATCTTAATCACCAATCCAACCCTCAAGTTTGACTTAACTTGGTCAAAAGTCAACGGGGTCAACAAGAGTCAAAGTCCAAGGTCAAACTGGTCAAAGATCCATAAGTCAACTGAGTCAATCCAACCGAGTCAACCCAGTGAGTGTACGTGGGCGTATTCTGGAGGTACACAGGGCGCACTCCTCTGTTGACCAACATCGAAGTTGTTGACTACGTAAGTTGGGCGTACTCCCAGGTACATGGGGTGTAATTCCAGACTTCCTTTTCTTCCCATAAAGTGCTTAATATAACGACTTAATACGTCCAAATGCATATCCAAGGGCAAAATGTCATTAGGATTTATAAAGTTTCCAACTTTATGACCCTGCATGCTCAATAAGTGCTTAATCCATAAAAACCCTACATCTTAATGCCTTAAGACTCTCCATAACATGCATGGGACAAAACCAACCATTAGGACTCCATTTTATGACTTAAGACCTCTACTAAGGTCTGAAATACAACTTAATGAATCAAGAACATGCCAAGCTCAAGATCTAACATTTTGGGACCAAAAAGCATCACTAAAACACCCATTTCTATATCTATATGATAGAGGGGTAAAGTTTCAAGCTTTATACTTTCAAAAGGTTGAAAATGAGGTAGAAATCATAGATCCAAAGTTATTTACTCCTCCAAGAAGAGCTCTACTTCCTTCCCTCTTCTCCAAGGCACAAAACACACACTCTCTTAAGCTTGGAATGGCTTCACAAGGTGAATTAGGGTTGCAAAACGTTCTACGAGGATGAGGGTTGATGAAGTGAGGGGAAAGGAGGCTATAATGGGGTTTAAACATGAGCTACACCCTAAAAGATTAGGGTTTCCATATCTGGCAAGTACGCTCAGTGTACACGCATATGCATGGCATACTCCCGCAAGGACAAATTTACAAAAATGCCACTAGGGCCCTTTTTGCACTCTTTCTTGAACTTAGGGACCAAAATGCAACATAATTAAATTATAGGGTTAAAATTAGAAGTATCTCATTTTCGAGATGTTACAATTCTCCCCCAGTTGAATTGGACTTCGTCCTTGAAGTCTGCTGCAGCGAATACTCTGGATAAAGCTCCCTCAACTATTCGTTGACATCCCAGACAGAAAAATAGTTGGCTACGAGGAGCTCCCTGACCATCCACTTCCTGTTACAAGACAACTCGAGCATTTCCCGAAAACAAACACCCGATAGCCACTGAGGACCAAGACTCCTGACCAATCACCGTTGGCAAACCCTTCCTCCGAGAACAAGGAAGCTCTCTAATACGAGCCTCAGAAAGAAAATCACTGAAACAATTACGTATCATGCTAGCATATTCCACAACTTCCTAAATAGTGAATCGAACTTCTCGCGATAACCACAACACTGGGGACTCTTGAAACTACAAACACCGAGTCAATTCCATCAATATGTTTCCCGAGGCCAGAAACCCATCAGATCTAGACTTCAGAGTCCAATTTTCCTTGGATTGATACCTCCATCAATCCTTAACCGTCCACTTATCCACATCAGCTGGTTCATGAGTCTCCTAACTTCCAACCATGCACCAACCCCGCATGAACCCCTGGAAAAAGAAATAATCAATCTTGGTCATCTCCGACCCGCCAATCAACTACCATGTAGTTGTTTTAAA